ATATGCGTACAAGGAAAACCAGTTAATACAATTATTATTCAAATCTATGCACCAACCACTAAGGCCAAAGATCAAGAAATTTGGAAGACAGCTACCTGGCCAACCGACTGGGAGAGATCCATATTTGTACCCATTCCAAAGAAAGGTGATCCAACAGAATACAGAAATTATTGAACACTATAATTACTATCACACACAAGTAAAATTTTGCTGAAGATATTTCACAAGCAGTTGCGGCAGCGCATCAGCAGGGAACTGCCAGAAATTCAAGATGGAATCAGAAGAGGATGTAGAACAACAGACAACACTGCTGATGTCAGATAAATCGTGGCTGAAAGCAGAGAATATCAGAAAGATATTTACCTGTGTTTTATGGACATGCAAAGGCATCAGACTGTGTGGATCATAACAAATTATGGCTAACACTGCAAAGAATGGGAATTCCAGAACACTTAATTATGCTCCTATGGAACCTGTACTTAGACCAAGAGGCAGTTGTTCGAACATAATGAGGGGATTCTGCATGATTTAAAGTCAGGGAAGGTGTGCATCAGGGTTGTATTCTTTCACCATACTTATTCAATCTGTATGCTGGGCAAATAATCTGAGAAGCTGGACTATATGAAGAAGAATGGGGCATCAGGATTAGAGGAAAACTCAATAATAACCTGCCATATGCAGATAACACAGTCTTGCTTGCTGAAAGTGAAGAGGACTTGAAGCACTTACTGATGAAGATCAAAGACCATAGCCTTCAGTATGGATTACACCTCAACATAAAGAAAACAAAAATCCTCACAACTGAACCAATAAGCAACATCACAATAATCAGAGAAAATATTGAGGTTGTCAAGGATTTCATTTTACTTGGATCTACAATCATTGCCAATGGAAGAAACAGCCAAGAAATCAAATGACACCCACCCTGTCTGGAACAAGGGAGAATGAAGAAAACCAAAGACACAAGGGAAGGATTAGTCCAAAAGACTGACGGACCACAACTACCACAGCCTCCACCAGACTGAGTCCAGCACAACTAGATAGTGCCCAGCTACCACCACCGACTGTTCTAACTGGGATCACAATAGTGGGTCCCAGACAGAGCTGGAAAAAACGTAGAACAAAATTCTAACAAAAAAAGACCAGGCTTACTAGCCTGACAGAGACTGGAGAAACCCCAAGAGTATGGCCCTCAGACACCCTTTTAACTCAGTACTGAAGTCACTCCTGAGGTTTACCCTTCAGCCAAAAATTCGACAGGCCCATAAAACAAAATGAGACTAAATGCGCACACTAGCCCAGGGGCAAGGACAAAACGACAGGAGGGGACAGGAAAGCTGGAAACAGGGAACCCAAGGTAGAGAAGGGGAAAGTGTTGACATGTCGTGGGGTTGGCAACCACTGTCACAAACCAATATATATACTAACTGTTTAATGAGAAGCTACTTTGCTCTGTAAACCTTCATCTAAAGTACAATAATATATATAAATACATATTAATATCATCACACTACCCTCAATATCATATTCTAGCCAGGGAAAAGAATTCATCACAGATGTTCTTATTATTTCAGTAGCCTGCTGCTTAATTCTAAGTAACTTACGAAATGAAGTTCACCTAAGCTAGTCGTCAAGAGCTCAGCTGCTAAAAAAACAAAAAAGAAAATAAAGTATTTGGCCAACCAAAAAAAAAAAAAAATTCACAAACAACAAAGAAAAATTATTAACTGAAACATGAAAAGAATGTCTATAAGTAAATATTATGTTCTTCACACCCTCAACAACAAAAAAAAAGAAAGCAAACGACGCATCGCACTGGGCAAATCTGCTGCAAAAGACATCTTTAAAGTGTTAAGAAAAAACAAAGATGTCACTTTGAGGACTAAGGTGTGCCTGTCCCAAGCCATGGTGTTTTCAATAGCCTCATATGCATGTGAAAGCTGGACAGTGAATAAGGAAAACCAAAGAAGAATTGATGCCTTTGAATTATGGTGTTGGCAAAGAATATTGAATATACCATGGACTGCCAGAAGAAGGAACAAATCTGTCTTGGAAGAAGTACAGCCAGAATGCTCTTTAGAAGCAAGGATGGCGAGATTTCATCTCATGTATTTTGGACATGTTATCAGAAGGGACTAATCCCTGGAAAAGGACATCATGCTTGGTAAATAGAGAGTGAGTGAAAAAGAAGAAGACCCTCAATGAGATGGAATGACATAGTGGCTGCAACAATGGGCTCAAGCATAACAAGAATTGCGAAGATGGCGCGGGACTGGGCAGTGTTTCATTCTGTTGTACATGGGGTCGCTATGAGTTGGAGATGACTGGACAGCACCTGAGACCCCAGTCTCTGGACATCATTACCAACACCCAACTTGTAAGTAGAGTAGCATGAGCCACCTCCCCTTCTAACTGGTTTCTCCAGACGTTTTTTAGGCAATCGGCCAACTTCCTGCCCAAGATAAGAAAAACAAGAGGCTGGGGTCTGCAGACCACAGAACCAGTTAAGACCAAATCTGGCCTGCCTGACATGTGCAGAACCATCAACCCCATACTCTGGGTGACCCCAGAACTTTTCTCCTACCTGAAAGAACCAAACTTTAGCAGCCCAAGATTGGGGGAAGACTTTCAGAAGGGAGAGGTCCAAGCCTAACATCCGATTTTAGAGACACCCCACCCCCACCGCGCCCTGTTTTGGACTGAGCAAGTGCAGACAACGGAGCCACCCCGGAACGTCTTTTTTCGGGCCAGACCAATCAACGATCTTGCTCCTTTCCCCAGGACCCTTCCCCTAATAAATACTGTTTCGGCCATTGTTCAGGGAGCCATCTTGGCCACGCAAGTCCCGGTGTGCTCCTTTGCTTGGCCAACCAAATAAAGCTTCTTCTTCCACTTCACCTGTTTTATGTCTCAGTGGCCGCACCAAGCAGACCTAAAACAGTCCAGTTACATAACAACAACAGTTCAAGATCTTAAAAACCGAGAGCTTCTTTAATTTGGTCATAATTAAGAGACTTGTTGTAGCAATAAATTCTCCTTCAACTTTAACAGTTGCAGATAACAAGACAAGTAAATGGTTACTGTTTCAGTTATCTACTGCTGTGTAACCAGGGTCAGATTATCCAATAAGCAAGGTAAGCACAGGTTTACTTTCTCAGATATAGTGAAACTCATGTGAAATTTTTCACTACAGATTTTTTTCACCATGCTTACCTCGGCTTATTGGATAATCTGCCCCTGTGGGTAACAAACCTCCCCTAAATTACGTGGCTTAAAACAACATTTATTATTTTTAATGATTCTCTTGGTTGTGTGTGTTCGCTGATTTTAGCTGGGCTCATTCAGGTAGCTGCATTCAGAAGATCTGCTGTGGGCTGGGCTCAGTGGTAACAGCTGAGACAGCTGGGCCTCTCTCTCCTCATGATCCTTCATCCCAGCCTTCTTCATGGCACGGCATTGCAAGAGGACAAAGGTGGAAGCTGTACACCTTCTTGAGGCCTAAACTCCAGAACTTGTACAACATCATTTCCACTACATTAAATGAGTTAAAGACAGTCACAAGTCCAGCCTACATTCAAGGGCGTAGAGAATAGACTCCACTTCTGGATGGCAGGAGCAGCAAAGTCACATGGCAAAGGGCTGTGTATTGTGGAATGGGAGGAAATTTGTGGCCAATAAAAAAAACCAGCAACAATTGTGACTGCACATTATATTGTTTTTATAGTTCCAGCAAATGTTAAGTACTACTAATGATACAATTCTTATTTCTAAAGCATGAAGGAAAGCAACATTCAAAGACTGATAAAAATCTACAAATGTTTATTCTTTCCCCTACACATACACACATACCAGGCGTCGTTCTCCCTAAGTACTGGCCACTGATTTTCCAGTTCTTTTTAATGCAGAAACTTTCTTTCTGCTTTCTAGTTAGCTATAGCAATACTTCCATAAGTATTGCAGCTTGGCAGTTTTTCTTTCCTACTTATTTTGGCCAATTGCCACCTAGAATATTAAGTACCCTGAGACAAGCTGTCAAAAGCAACACTCCTAAAACTGCCTATTGCATCTTTTCCATGCTCGCTGGGGAGAGCAAGACTTCCATGGGGCAAAGCAATCTCCTTTGCATCTGGGAGGGGAGAAAAAAAATGAGATGAGCTGGACACTGACAGGCAGCTTCTGGTAAAGCCTAGAGAACTACTTTTAAATATTTGGCTGGACATTAACTTTTAAACGTGCCTTTTTTGTTGCTCGACGATTTTTAGAGCTAACAGGTATTTTATAAGAACTAAAAAAATCTAAATTTATTCTGAGGAATATTCCTCAAATATTTTTAAGCAGCAAAAGAAATGCAAACTACTTCTTTCCCCTACGTTTAACCATTTTTTAAAGCAAGCTGGATATTAGACAGACTCAGTTTAAGTCCCGAATTACAAAAATTGCTGAAGATAACATTTGTTTTTACATGTCTTGAAAATATCATTGTAGACAAAATGAGTTGACATCTAGTGACAAGATGAATCAAAAATAAGAAAATAATTAACTAAAATAAGTAGACTTTCTGAGTTATCCACAAATATTTTTAAATTTGAATTATTATCCATGCCAAAACATTACCTCTGAGAGTTTATGAATACTGTATTTGGTACTTTTGACTTAGCTAATAACATTTGTTCACAATAAAACAAAACACATACATGGAGAAATTGGTGCCAAAATAATGTTAATAAATTCTCTAGTCAAAAGGACAAAAAAACAGATTTCGATGTTAAATTAAGGAGAAATTAAACGTATTTTAATTTTTCTATCGAGTCTAGTATTCTGTCATCAGTAATTTTTTAATCCCTATAATGTCCAATGAACTATTTAATGAAAGCTATCAGATATTTTCATATAAGGAATATACCAGGGTTTCCAATCAATTTATTTTATTTAATATATGAAAGATCATTATCTTTATGTGCATAAATCCATATGCATATTATTAATCAGATTTATTTCTAAACCCTCCTCAGCCTTTTGGCTAAGATCAAGTGTAGTCTGTTCTTATCACTGTAGTATATCATACATCCTCTGAGGACAATATAGTAAATGGATTTTTGGAGCATTGAGAGGGAAAAGGGGCTTGCTTCATCCACTCTATGCATCGACCTGGTATTGCAGTAACTCCAGGAATGGTGCACCATGGGGAATAATCTAGTTTTCAAAAGTAGAAATATTCCATTTTCTCTGGGTCCTGGTTGCTTATTTGCAGTCTCATTCATACGCTTCACCTAACAATTGCCTTCCATTTCCTGCTTCTGACCTGCCTTTGCTGTCTTTGTAAGAAGTGCAACTTCCTTCTGAAGCTAGGGAAAACTCTGCCTCCTTTGCCATCAGACTTGAAGAACTGGATGGTGCCCAGCTACTGGTACTGAATGTTTGATTAAATGATTCTACAGAAGAATCCTGCTCAGAAGGGAGAAAGCGCAGAACAGAATTTCAAATTCTCGTGGAATCCAAATTTGCTGAAGCCATGGAGACTGATGAACCCCCAAAACTTTTACCCTGAGATCATCTTTAAACCTTAAACCAAAAATATTTCCTACAGTCTTTAAATCAAACAATAGTTTCGCTTAACTACTAAAGAATGTCTGCCTTGAGCCCTATGCTCTTTAAGAACTATCTATATGGGATCAAATTGACAACAGCAACTCGAAACATTAGACAGGAAATTTAGGGGGCAGTGTGTTTATGTTAAATGGAGGAGGAACAATTCAGAAAAGGAGGGTGAGAATGGTTGCACAACTCAAAGAATGCAATCAATGTCACTGAGTTGTACATGTAGAAATTATTGAATTGGTGTATATGCTCAACAACAAACAAAAATAAAATAATTTGTTTTTAAAAAGAAGAAGCTAGTAGAAGGTGAAACGGTTACTAGTCACTTACTAGGGGCGCTGGGCCCAGAAAGCAGCAGGTTGGTGTGCATCTGCACCTGATTTTCTGTGACACTGAACAGTCCTGTCTTCTACCAGGGCACTCAGGGAATAATGTCTCCTCCACGTTGTTAGCGAAAAAATTTAGGGTCATAAGATATGGTCTGTATGCTGAGCAAATAATCTGAGAAGCTGGAGTATATGAAAAACAACATGGTATCAGGATGGGAGGAAGACTCATTAACAACCTGTGTTATGCCAATGACACAACCTTGCTTGCCGAAAGTGAAGAGGACTTGAAGCACTTACTGATGAAGATCAAAGACCATAGCCTTCAGTATGGATTACACCTCAACATAAAGAAAACAAAAATCCTCACAACTGGACCAATAAGCAACATCACAATAATCAGAGAAAATATTGAAGTTGTCAAGGATTTCATTTTACTTGGATCCACAGTCAATGCCCATGGAAACAGCAGTCAAGATATCAAACAACATATTGCACTGGGCAAATCTGCTGCAAAAGACTTCTTTAAAGTATTAAAAAGCAAAGACATCACTGAGGACTAAGGTGTGCCTGACCCAAGCCATGGTATTTTCAATCACCTCATGTGCATGTGAAAGCTGGAGAATGAATAAGTAAGACCAAAGAGGAATTGATGTGTTTGAATTATGGTGTTGGCAAAGAATACTAAATATACCATGGACTGCCAGAAGAACAAACAGATGTCTTGGAAGAAGTACAGCCAGAATGCTTAGAAGTGAGGCTGGCAAGACTTTGTCTCACGTAGTTTGGACATGTTATCAGGAGGGACCAGTCCCTGGAGAAGGACATCATGCTTGGTTGAGGGTAAGCGAAAAAGAGGAAGACCCTCAATGAGATGGATTCACACAGTGGCTACCAACAATGGGCTCAAACATGGTAACAATTGTGAGGATAGCGCAGGACTGGGCAGTGTTTTGTTCTGTTGTACATAGGGTTGCTATGAGTCAGAATCGACTCAACAGCACCTAACAACTACAACATATTTAATAAATTATGAACTTGCAGATGACGTGCATATTGTGTCCCATTTCTCATAATATGTTAGGCATAATCACTCACCCAAGGAAAAGTTCGTTTTCTTTTTGTTGTTGTTGTTTAATTTTATTTATGCAGCCAGACACTAACTTTTAGGCTTTTGGATAGTGTATCTGTCTAGTATATCACTTTTCCCAGGGGTTATCTGTCTAGTATATCACTTCTCCCAGGGGTTTCCACCACAGTACTATAAATCTGCAACAAGAAGGAGGTAGGTACGCACGAGTAAAAAAAAAGTCCATGAAACAATCCTTGCTAAAGATTGTACACAATTGAATATTTCGAATCTAAGTTTTTCTTATTATGTTATCTCCAAAGGAGCATGCATTATTAGGCTTTCACTCGCCCTGATGACCTTAATTAGACTTGTTCCAGATTTAGGGGGGCTGTAAAATTAGGGAGCTTTCATTAAAAATAAATAAATAAATACCCCCCACCAGATGGTTTTCCAAAGCACATCCAGCATTACTCAAGATTTTATTATTTCAGCTAGTTGGCTATATCATATCTACAGCTCTAGCCAGGTCAGTAAGAGTTCTGTGACTGACGCCTAATAGAACCAATTTTCACTCTGGCAGAACAAATTCAAGTTCTAATAGTAACTTGAATTCCAGCTTCCACTGGATGCCAGGAATCAGATACTTTAAGAGGAAATTGTATCAGAGCACCTGCCTACTGAGCTATGTCCCATTCATTTCATCTAAATAGCTAGCAGGAACAATTCTTGACTAATGTCAAACCTAAAATAGAAAACAAATTTTTTTTTAATTACTAAACTTACTTTTTTTTTTTTTTTTTAGCCTGCTTTCCCTCTTCTAATCCATGGTTTCAATTTTCTACAAACTTCACCTATCTTGACTGTGGACCACTAACTTTCCTTAAACAGGAACAAACGGGTCAGAACAGACGCCAACCTACACTAGCCATCATATTACAGTCTCAGACCATTGACTGTTGTTCACATTTGTATTACTCTGCATCTGATAAACATGAATGCATTTGGGTGTCTTCCTCAACACTAGAAAGTAAAATAATAATTCAGATAGAATTCTAAAAGTTAGCGTGTTTTGTCAATAGCTTCATTGTTCCTTATGTCCGTTCATCACATCTCGCCTGCTACTGAAATCTTTCCTCACTTTCTAACATTATTACAGTTAGTCATTATTAAAGTCATCTCAAAAAGACATATCTCTGCAACTTCCAAGATATTATCAGGTAGGAATCGTATTTTCAATACTTCAAATTCTATTGTATTTTCAAGCTTCTGAAACAAATATAATCTTCTTGCATATTTCCTAAGATGGACTTTCATGTAGACAATGATGAGACAGGAAAGATGATGCTTATCTAATGATTTTGGAATTGCCCCTTGATAACTGTGATACTCTGAGAAAAGCAGCAACGGTTTTCCTACTATCAGAACAGATTAAAATGCGTGTTCTGGAGTTCTACGTGTCTTAGATTTGAGAAATAAAAATCACTGGGAAAAAAAACCCTTAACAATAGTGATATTTGTGTTCATCTAATTTCATTAAAATATCTTTTGGGTACACATTTTTTTTAATAACAATTACATATTTTACAAGACCACTTAAGGCTAGAGATTTTTGTATTGTTTTAGTTTTGTTTTTCACCAAAAAATCAGCTTTAATTAAAGCTTCACGTACAGACTAAAAACACATTATTCCACAGATCCTAATTTTCCAACTCCTTCTTTAGTAGGCATTACTTAAGTAATTTGAACCAGATAGTTTAAGTTGTTGGTGGTAAAGCTCAGTGAATATCTTTCTCTATATGCAATACATCCACTGTTTTAGTCATTTCCAATTAATATGAAATAGTCTTCCCAAAATATGACTATAAATGGAAAGCCATCATTCTGAACATTTGGAGCAAATGTTCATTTTTCATTATTTGTTGATATTTTGATATAAAATACTATTTAAGCAGCTCATTGATGTTATTTCCCATTTAATCAGAAAGAAATTCAGAGGAAAGATGATCATTTTTATTGGTTTACCAAAGATCCCTGATGAAGTGCACACACAATGAAGAAGAAAAGTTAAGTCCTCAACAGTGTTGTCAACTTCAATGGACACTTAAAACATGGCCATGGATTTACATACTATACATTACAGGCTGATTAGGCCAAAGTCAGTGCATGATGTGCATGCTGTGTATGTTCATCTGCGGGAAAGAAAGCCAGAGAGAGAGAAGCCACAATCATATAACGAGAGTTACCTCTCTAGATTTATTAATGGGGAGTGGAGAGAGAGACAACTTGTGACTCTTCTCTCTGCTGACAGTACAATACTAGAAAAAAGAAAACAAAAACAGCCTTCCTGTATAATTTACTCTAGAATCTCTTGTCTCAGACACAGACTAGAAGGAATACAAACCGTGCTGTATGTGCGTCTGTGTACAGGTGCCTACACACACTTTCACTTCTGATTTTTTTTAACCTCAAATTTGATTTAAATCAAAATGAGTTCAGCTTTAAACAGGGACTGGGTGAGAAAGAACCCTCTAAAGACTTTGTTCAACCTAGCAAATGCTTGAAAAGTGAAGCAACGAGCAGTAGCTCTCAACTGCATAAACATGCTTGAAAAATGACTATTTTGTTTTTAGGAAACAAAAGCACTCGGGGCTTTTCAAGGACAAAGAAGGAAAGCCTTCTCTGGTCTGCCTTCCCTCACTCTCCACCATTTGATCATGCAATTTTTTCTAATTGTCTTTTTTTAATGAAGATTTCTTCCTCCCTGTTTTTTTTTTTTTTTTTTCCCTGCTTTCCTTTTCTCTATCCCAACAGCCTCAAGTTTGACTAAAAAATTTTCTACGTAGGACCGTTAATACTTCAATGTGGGAACCTTGTATCCCAGGACCGGGCCCACTGACCTGGGCGGTACCCCCAGCCCGCTCTTCTGGGGGTTCTTCGAGGGGCTGAGCAGCCCCGGCAGGGACGTGCAGTTGAGAGTTTGCTCCAGTAGTCCATCCACTAACTTCTGCTTTTCCCTAGAGAAAACTATGAAACTAGAAACGCGCCTGCCAGTGCTGCTCCTGATGGGCCAGGAGGATTCTGAACCTCTGAACTAGCGTCCTAAATCCCTACCCCTCCCGCCCGGAATCCCGGAAAACCTGGATCTGCCGCTAACTGCGCGTGCTCTTGAGAGCCAGAACCCAAGCGTCC